CCGGCTCTGGGAGGGGGGCGGGAGCCAGGACTCCTGGGTTCTCTCCCTGGCTCTGACGCGGGGTCCCGTCCAGGGAAGAACTGCCAGCTGATGGATTTCTGCCCCACCAACCCCTGCGCCAACGGGGGCACCTGCCTGCTCACCTACCCGCACATCGTGTGCCAGTGCCTGCCCGGCTTCGACGGCCACACCTGCCAGCACGACGTCAACGAGTGCTACCGGGACCCCGGGCCCTGCACCAACGGGGGCACCTGCCTCAACAGCCTGGGCTCCTTCCGCTGCCTCTGCCCCCCCGGCTTCTCTGGCCCCCAGTGCCAGCACCGCGCCGGGCCCTGCTCCGCCGGGCTGTGTCTGCACGGCGGGACCTGCCGCCCCCTGCCCGGCGGCTTCCACGGCTGCCTGTGCCCGCCAGGTAAGGGCTGCGCCGGGGCGGGGGCTGGGCCGGGGGTGCCTTGTCGCATGTGGGGCTGACATTCAATATGGCCGCCGAGGTGTCGTATCGGCCGCTGGTGCCGAATATGGCCGCCAGGCCCTGGCCCGTTCCTGTAGACTGGACCGTCCCAGTATGGCCACCCCATCGATTTCTCATCCCCCGGACAGGGCCAATCCAATATGGCCGCCACATTGAGATGCCTTCCCCTAGTCAGAACCAATCCAATATGGCCGCCCCATCGAGGCTGTAACGATGCTGCCCGTGGGAGCCAGCTGAGGTCACTCAATCAGGGTGAACTGCAAACAGACCGCGGCAGACAAACCCCGAACGCTGGTGGATCTTCCAGTGCTGAGATTTACCAACCAGCCCAAAACAGCCTCTGTGTTACCTCCCTGGTTACTCAGACGTCCAACCAACGCAGTTCCCTTAAAGTGCCCAGCCTCAGGCCTCCATCCAGACACACCTGTCAGATACGATGATGATTACTGAAAATCTGATCTCATCAGATACAAGAAAAGGTTCTTCCAACCCCAAAGGATCAGCCACATACCCAGGTCCAATTATAACTCAGATCTGACCCAAAATACACGCTACAGCCAATTCTTATGAACTAAACTAAAATTAATTAGAAAAGAAAAGGGAGAGAGTGTTGGTTAAAAGATCAATATACGGACAGACTTGAATTCAATTCTTGAGGTTCAGACACAGCAGAGATGAGCTTGTAGTTGCCAAAAGTCCTTTTAGAAATAGTCCATAGGTTATAGTCCAATGTCCATGTTCAGGGCGGCTCCAGTCAGTGACTGGGGATCTCAATCCTTATGGCTCAGGGTTTCCTCTTCTTGAAACCCAAAGCAGATCTGAGATGAAGCAGGATCGTGTCCCAGGGTTCTTATACATTTCCAGCAGCCGCTCGGCCTGAGAAAACCATAGGCTTAATTCTCCTTCTCCCAAACATCCTGGCAATGAGCACAGGGTAATTTATCCATTAAACAGTTCAGATCCAGGTCACCACAACCTGCAAAGAGACACAGAGACAATGATACTATTTCCCTCCAGGGTCTCCCCAAAGGTTAATATTCCGGTTTGGTCTTTGAATCAAAGCCCTAGCAATAGACAAGCCTTGTTTGCTTTCATCATCTCCCATCTCCCTAACGATGCGGCGGCGTTTCCCAGCTCTGCTCGTTCCCAGATCTTCCTAACGAGTCTCCACAGTTGGGCCCTGGGGCAGGTGGGTCTGGGCGGGAATTGACTCTCTCTGGCCTGGCCCTGTCAGTGAGAGATGAGATCACACTCAGAACGTCCCAGAGGCGCCTTCCCCTAGACAGACCAATCCAATATGGCCGCCATGTTCTTGGTTCCTCCCACCAGCTGTTATGTCCAGCGGGGCCGTTATGGGACGGGGCTGATTAGAACCAGACCCGTTCCTGGGGGTGACTGGGAATGGGGGGGACTCGGTGGGGGGGGGTCAGCAGGCACCCCCGGAGGCCAGTCTCCAAGATGGCCGACCTCCCCAGCCCCTCCGCCCTGGTAACCGTGGCTCCCAGCATGGCTGCCCACTGTGGAGGGGAGCGACTGCGGCTGAATTACCCCCCCCCCTTGGGGGCGTCTCTCTCTGTCTCCCTCCAGGGTACACGGGGCAGCTGTGTGAGGTGAACCCCAATGACTGCGTGGGGCATCACTGCCGGAACGGGGGGGCCTGCCAGGACGGGGTGGGGACATACTCCTGCCTCTGCCCCCCCGGCTGGATGGGTGAGTAGGACGCCCCCCATCCCTTACTGGGGACAGGACCCAGGGGTCCTGGCTCCCCCCCCCCCCCCCCCACTCTAACCACCAGTCCCCTCTCCTCTCGCAGAGCCAGGGAGAGAACCCAGGAGTCCTGGCTCCCAGCTCCCCCTGCTCTGACCCACCAGACCCCACTCCCCTCCCCCAGCCGGGGAGAGAACCCAGGAGTCCTGGCTCCCAGCTACCCCCGCTCTAACCACCAGACCCCACTCCCCTCCCAGAGCCGGGGAGAGAACCCAGGAGTTCTGGCTCCCAGCCCCCCTGCTCTAACCACTAGCCCCCCCCCAGCATCCTGACGCGCTCCCCGCAGGCTGGGACTGCTCGGGGGACGAGGACGAGTGCCTGGCGCCGGGGCCCCCCCCCTGCCACCACGGCGGCACCTGCCACAACCTGCCCGGGGGCTTCCGCTGCGTCTGCGTCAACGGCTGGTCGGGCACCAGCTGCAGCCACAACGTGGACGACTGCGTCTCGGCCACCTGCTTCCCCGGCGCCACCTGCCTGGACCGCGTGGGCACCTTCCTCTGCCAGTGCCCCCCGGGGCGCACAGGTGGGGCCGGCCGGGGGGTGGGGAGTGGGGTGGGCCTGGCCCTTCTAGGGGGCGCCGGCTCCCACCAGCCCCAGGGCAGGGACCAGCTGGCTCAGGGGGGCGGGGAATGGGCCCGGGCCCTGTCTCCTCTGGGGGTGCCGGCTCCCGTCCGGCCCCAGGGTGGGGACTGGCTGGTTCAGGGGCGTGGGGGGTAGGAAGTGGGGCCTGGCCCCTCTAGGGGACGCCAGCTCCCATCCAGCCCCAGGGCGGGGACTGGCTGGCTCAGGGGGGTGGGGAATGGGGCAGGCCCCGATCTGGGTGCGGCTGGCTCTGGGTGGGGGCGTCTCTCACCCCATCTGACGCCCCCAGGGCTCCTGTGCCACTTGAGCGACGCCTGCCTGAGCAGCCCCTGCCACGCGGAGGCCTCGTGCGACACCAACCCCCTGACGGGCTCGGCCGTGTGCGTGTGCCAGCCGGGCTCCACTGGGCCCACCTGCCACCAGGACCTGGACGAGTGCCAGCTGGGTGAGTGAGGCCGGGCACGATCAGCTGCGTGTCTCTGCCCGCATGTCACGTGAACGGCACGTCGGTGCAGGTCCCGTGTCACTGAACATGTGGGCCAGGCCCATGAATTAAATCTCTGCCTGTTCCCCTGTGTCTGTGCGTGTGCTTTGCACGTTTATGCACCATCCTGTGTGTCTGCGTGGACGTGCACGTTTGTGTTGTTTGTGTGCCTTCACTGCATCACATGACTGTGCGTGTGCATTACATGTCTGGGCATATTTTCCATGTGTGTCTGTGTGTGTTGTCTACATGTGTCCATCACATGTCCGTGCGTGGCCCCGAGTCCACGCATGTTGTTCACATGTTGGTGCATGGCCCACCGTGTCTAGGCATGTTCATCGCATGTTGGTGCCTGGCCCCCTGAGTCCAGGTGTGTTGATCGTGTGTCTGCACATGGATCCATGTCCAGGCATGTTCATCATGTGTCTGTGTGCCCCTCCCCCGAGTCCAGGCGTGTTCATCCTGTGTCTGCACATGGCCCCTGAGTCCAGGTGTGTTCATTGCTTGTTGGTGCCTGGCCCCCCGTGTCCAGGCATGTTCATCGTGTGTCGGTGCATGGACCCATGTCCAGGCGTGTTGATCGCGTGTCAGTGCCTGCCCCCCCGTGTCCAGGCATGTTCATCGCGTGTCGTTGCCGTGTTGGCCCCACGCCAGCCCCCTGACGCCCCTCCCCCAGGTGCGGAGCCGTGCGAGCACGGTGGGCGCTGTGAGAACACCGTGGGCTCCTTCCGGTGCCGCTGCCCGGCCGGCTACACGGGGTCCCGCTGCGAGGCCGACGTGGACGAGTGCCTGAGCCAGCCCTGCCTGCGGGGGGCGCCCTGCCTGGACCTGCTCGGCCACTTCCAGTGCCTCTGCCCCCCCGGCTCCCAGGGGCCCACGTGCGAGCGAGAGGCCGACGCCTGTGCCAGTCACCCCTGCGGGAACGGGGGGCGCTGCCAGGCCGGGGCGGGGGCCTTCCGCTGCCACTGCCCCCCCGGTGAGACGCCCACTGGGATCTGGGGGCTGCCATGGGGGGGCTGGGCATGGACCGGGATCTGGGGGGCTGGGGCTGTCTCGGGGGGGCTGGGCATGGACCGGGATCTGGGGGGGCGGGGGCTGTCATGGGGGGGCTGGGGGCTGTCATGGGGGGGCTGGCCATGGAGCGGGATCTGGGGGGCTGGGGGCTGTCTCGGGGGGGCTGGGCATGGACCGGGATCTAGGGGGCTGGGGGCTGTCTCGGGGGGGCTGGGTGTGACAATGCAGTTCTGGCGGAACCCAACTGAGAGTGCCAACTCAGGACAAATTGCTCAAACAGGGCAGTTGCAGCCCAAGGCTGGGGGTTTTTCCGCCTCTAAGGCACCAAACCAGCCAGACTAAGAGGACTTCGGTCTCACCCCACTGGCTAACCGCAAGTCTCACAAGCAATCTCCTAAGACACTCCAATTTCCCAGTATCACCACCAGTGCCACTCGTTATGGGGACAAATGGTTATGAAAACCAAGACCCCAGTAAAAGAAAAAGGTTCTCCTGATCCCAAAGGACCAAGCCCCAGACCCAGGTCAATATACAAATCAGATCTTACCCACAAATCACGCTGTTGCCAATCCTTTAGAATCTAAAATCTAAAGGTTTATTCATAAAAGGAAAAAGATAGAGATGAGAGTTAGAATTGGTTAAATGGAATCAATTACATACAGTAATGGCAAAGTTCTTGGTTCAGGCTTGTAGCAGTGATAGAATAAACTGCAGGTTCAAATCAAGTCTCTGGAACATCCCCCGCTGGGATGGGTCTCAGTCCTTTGTTCAAAGCTTCAGCTTGTAGCAAAGTTCCTCCAGAGGTATGAAGCAGGATTGAAGACAAGATGGAGATGAGGCATCAGCCTTTTGTAGCCTCTTCCAGGTGTAAGAACACCTCTTTGTTCTTACTGTGGAAAATTACAGCAAGATGGAGTTTGGAGTCACATGGGCCAGTCCCTGCATACTTTGCTGAGTCTCAAGGCATATTTGCCTTCTCTCAATGGGTCCATTGTATAGCTGATGGTCCTTAATGGGCCATCAAGCAGGCCAGGCAGAGCTAACACCAGTTTGTCTGGGATGTCACCCAGCAGCATAGCACAAGTTTGAAATACAGACAGTATAGAGCCAATATTCCTAACTTCAACTACAAAATTGATACACACATACAGACAGCATAATCATAACCAGTAAACCATAACCTTGTCTTAGACACCCCATTTGACCCCGTTTATACAAGATTTGGTGCCACTACAGGACCTTGGTTGCAACAATGATCTATATGGTCCCAGATTATATCAATAACGTCACACTGGGCATGGACCGAGATCAGGGGGGCTGGGGGCTGTCTCGGTGGGGCTGGGCATGGACCGGGATCTGGGGGGCTGGGGGCTGTCTCGAGGGGCTGGGCATGGACCGGGATATGGGGATCTGTCTCTGTTGGGGGACATTAGAACTGGGACAGGGGAGTGTAGATTTGGGGGACAGGGACCCAGGGGACACTGGCATAGGGGGGCGGATTTGGGGGATTCCCCTGGGGGACGTGGGGGAGGGGCTGGGGGGCTGGGTCGGAGCCCCCCTGACCCCCTGTCGCCCCAGGGTTCAAGGGGCCACGCTGCCTGGAGGAGGCGGGGGCCTGCGCCAGTGACCCCTGCCGGGGGGGCACCTGCCTGGAGGTCGCGGGCGGCTTCTCCTGCCTCTGCCCCCCGGGCTTCACGGGCCCCGACTGCGCCCCCTGGAGCGACGCCTGCTGCCAGCGGCCCTGCGCCCAGGGCACCTGCCAGAGCCACCCGCAGGGGTAAGGGGGGCCGGGGCCGGGGGGCGGGATGGGGGGCGGAACCTCACACTGACCCCGCCCCCCTGCCCCACACAGGGCTCTGTGCGTCTGTGCCCCCGGCTGGACGGGCCGGGACTGCTCGGCCGAGATCGACCCCTGCGATTCGGGGCCCTGCCCCCAGGGGGCAACCTGCCAGCCCCAGCCCCACGGCTACAGCTGCACCTGCCCCCAGGGGTTCACAGGTAATGGCCCCCCCCACTCCTGATCCCCACCCCCGACCCCTCACTCCCGACCCGCAGCCCCCGGCGCCCCCCACTCCCGACCCGCAGCCTCCCCACTCCACCAGCACCCCTCACTCCCGACCCGCAGCCCCCCAGCTCCGCTGGTGCCCCTCACTCCCGACCCGCAGCCCCCCTGCTCCGCCCGCGCCCCCCACTCCCGATCCGCAGCCCCCCAGCTCTGCCCGGCGCCCCCCACTCCTGACCCGCAGCCCCCAGTTCCCCCGGCGCCCCTCACTCCCAATCCGCAGCCCCCGGCTCCACCAGCGCCCCCCACTCCCAACCCGCAGCCCCCCAGCCCAGCCGGTGCCCCTTACTCCCGACCCGCAGCCCCCGGCTCCCCCGGCGCCCCCCACTCCCGACCCGCAGCCCCCCAGCTCTGCCCGGTGCCCCCCATTCCCGTCCCGCAGCCTCCCAGCTCTGCCCGGTGCTCCTCACTCCCGACCCACAGCCCCCTGCCAGCCCAGCCCTGGGCTCCCCGCTCTGTCTCTGCCC